AGGTCCCCAAGCTGCCAGCTGCCAGCCAGAGGCCCTGAGCACCTTCCCCTGGGCGTCCTGCCTCCTGCCTCCTCCTCCTGGCCCTCAGGCTTCAGGACATGGTGGCTTCCTGCTCCAGCTCATTTCTACTTGGCTTCTCTACTCTTTGATCACCTACTGACTGATTTCCTGCATTAATGCCCCTGTCTGAGATACTTTGTGTGATATTTTATCTGCTGCATTCTAACCGATCTACCGCCCTGCATGTAAAGTTTTGGGGTAACTCTTCATCCCAGGTGTCTCAATACGACGTTAGATTCTACAATTTCATTTTTACCATCTTAACCATTTTAAGCACAGAATCCTGTGATCTGCTGTACATTCGCTTTGTTGTGCAACTGTTGTCACCATCTATCTCCAGAGCCTTCCCACTGTCTCAGCTGAAACTCCATAACCATGGAATTCTGTGGAACTCAACTGAAACTCCATATCCCTTAAACAACACCCTAATTCCTTCCTCCTCCTAGGCCCTGACAACCTCCACTCTTACTTTCTGTGTTTATGATTTTCACTGCCCTAGATTCCTTGTGTAGGTGGAATTACATAATATTTAACCTTCTTTTGTCTGACTTATTTCCTCTAGAATAATGCCTTCAAGGTTCAACTATGTTGTAGCATGTATCAGAATGTAATTTCTTTTTTCTATCAGCCTGTTTTTTAACCAAGATTCTTTCAGTTTCAAGTAATGGAATACCTGCCGGGTGTGGTGGTATATGCCTGTAATCCCAACACTTGGGAGACTGAGACAGGAGGATCATTGTGAATGTGAGGTCCTGCCTCAAAAAAACGAAATAAAAAAGTAACACAATCCCCAAATTAACTGTATTATTTAATACAATAAGGCATTCAGAGGTAAAGCAGCTCCAGAATTGTTAAGTCAGTAGCTTAAAAATTTTCAATCTCAGGTTAGTTTTCCTCTTTTCTGTGCTGTTGATCCTTGCCTATCAGTTTGATTTCCAGGCAAACTGATGCTTGAGGTCTCAAGACTGCTGCACTGCTAGCACTGGTATGAATTAGCTTTTGTTAGAATGTGCTGTTACAACAAACACTTCTCCCCCAGATCTCTACCGCTTCAAATAACAGCATCTAGAATTTTGTTTCTTTGTTTGAGATAAGATCTTACTATGTAGCTCAAACTAGGCTTGCATTTGTGATCTTCCTGCCTCAGCCTCCTGAGTGAGTTCTGTGACTGCAGGTGTGAACCAGTATGACTGACATAGAGGTATATTCTTTTTTTTTTTTTTGGTCCAGGGCATCGGACTCATGACCTTGTGTTTGCCAAGCAGACACGCCACTGAGATAAACCTCCAGCCCCCGAAGTGTATTCTTCTCAAGATAAGGACTAGGCATAGTGGCTCACACCTGTAATCCCAGCATTCAGGAGGCTGAGGCAGGAAGATCATTGGGAGTTTCAGGCCAGTTTGGGCTACAAAGTGAGTTCAAGGTTAGCCTGAATTGCACAGCAAAATCCTTCTTCAAAAAGACCCCCTTCCCCCCAAAAAAGAGATAAGGCAAAGCTTTTCTAGAAATTCTATGCAGTCATCCTATCAGATAGATAGACAGAATTATATAATATTTATTTACATGCTTGGAAAAAAGTCACTGGCAGGGCTGGGCATTTAGCTCAGTGGCACAAGTGCTTGCCTGGCATACACTAGGTCTGAGTTTGATCCCTGATACCAGAGAGAGAGAGAGAGAGAGAGAGAGAGAGAGAGAGATAAAATGTGAGAAAATTAAAAGAAGGAGGAGGGAGAAGAGGAGAAGAAAGAGGTCACTGGCAATCATTGTCTTAGTTCATTTCAAATTCAAAATTCATCCCTTAAAGAAGGAGGAGGGCCTGGTTGCACTGAATTGAAGATTTACACAGGAGAGCATTCCTGGATGGAAGGAGGAGGTAAAGTGCCCACTGGGCAAGGTATCCATAGTGTCTGCTATAATAGCATATCTACCCTCCATCTCAGTGAAACTATCTGATAAATAACACAGACAAACCATTCAATCAGTTGTAGCCAGAAACCTAGAAACCATTCTCCAACCTCCTTCTCTCTCATTTCCCTCTTTATCCAATCAGCGATCTGGCTCATGGATTTCACCTTGACCTTCACTTTGGGCAGTTCTTTCATTATCCATGTACAGGGCACCACCATCACCTCTCCCTGGGCGGGCCACTCTTGCAGATTTCTCACCAGTCTCTCTGTCTCTGGTCTTGCTAACCCTCAATTCCATCTTGACAGAGCAATTTGAGCCCTATATTTTCCACTGAAAAGCTTTCCTAAGCTGGGCACAAAGGCATGCACCTGTAATCCTAGTATTCTGGGAAGCAAAGAGGCAGGAGGATTACAAAGTTCAAGCCTAACCTGGCAGTTTAACGCCTTGAGATGTGTCAAAATAAAAAAGTTTCAAAATTTCGGGGGATATAGCTCAGGGCAAAGGCCCAGGGGTTCAGTCCTCACTAGCAGAGGTTGGGAAGCAACACAGTTCTTAGACTCCTCTTTGCTCTCAGCAGAAAAGTTGAAACCCCACATCACGCCTTCCAAGGCCCTCTGCCATTGTGGCCCAGTGTACTTCTCTGATTTCATCTCTTTCTACTTGTTTTCTGGATTCTGCATTGTCCTTGTCTCCTTATGAACCCTTTCTCATCATTTAGGTCACAAGTTAAGCATCACTTCCTTGAAGATGTTCTCTATTCCCATAATGCAAATTACTGGAATTTTCCATTAAAGTCTGTCTTCCTCTGTAGACTGTAAATGTTACTCCCTATCGCCCAGCAGAGTGTGGCTATTACAAGGGTTAAATAAAAATGAAGAGACTGCAAAGTTTTTGTGTTATTGAGCCTATAGGTGGTAACTGATCCCGAAGGGTGATAATCCATCTCCAGAAACTGAAGAAGAACAATGAGTAAGAGATACACAAAAGGCTGACAAGAGGATAAGAAAAGAGTAGGCACAGAAGTAGAACATCGGAGGAGAATGCAATCACAAACTCAAAAAGAGAATCATTAGGAAATTGGAGGTACCAAACAGGGTCACCCACAGCAAAGGGGACAGACGTGGATGAAAAACGGCCATGGACTTGGTTACACAACCAGACTTGTAATGTTTGAGAGTATAAAGTAATGTTTGCTAAACTAATATACATAAGATGGTACTTTTTTCTTCCTTCTCCTCACATCTAGTCATTGGTCCATCAAAGATTCATTATCCACTCTAGGTCAGGTACTTTACCATGCTTTAGAGAGACCTGGGAACTAGGACAAGCTCCCTTGGCCTGCTGGGCTCAGGACTCCTCCTGCTAGACAAAGTTACAATGTGTGAGACTCGGGTGTTTTATTGGAGTTGGTACTGACTGGTTGTCTGGATACGTTCAATAAAACTAGAGTTAGTGTTCAAGCCCAGAGGTCTGCAAGACTTTATTTTGTTCTGAGCTAGCAGGAAGCAAAAGGGAAAGTGCATGTAACACGCTATTATTACATCATCCCTGTCTGTTCATAAGTCAGGCAGAGATGAGATTCTGGGATTTTCCAGGAAAACCGATTCCACCTACTCAAAGGAAAAAAATGATAGAGCAGTTTAATTAAATGTACCCTCTTTTAAAATATTCTCCAGACTTGTCACTGCTTATTACTCAATCTGCACAGATTTCTCTTAACTTTCAGGCTTACATTGTACAACTAATAAACTATTGCTTCACTATTTTTTACTGCCCTTGTGCTCCTTGTGTGGTATTGTGTTCAAAAGGTCAGTGAGGCAGTCCTCTGAAAATTAATGGGTGTCATGGGTGGGGAGTTGCAGTGGAGATAAAGGGAGGGACACTAACTGATTAGAAATTTCTCTTGCTAAGTTTTCACTTAACACTCATTTCATACATCTTACTTTATATAACAGACATTGTGCTGGGAAAAAGAGTTTACATCAAAATCCCTTTAAGGTACATTATCTTTAATACTCTAGAAAAACTGTTATTTAAGGAAATTTTGCCTACTGATTATTTTGGTTTTTTTGAGACAGGGTCTCACCACGTGGTCCAGGCTGGCCTTTAACTCAGGGCAATCCTCTCACCTCAGGCATGCCATACCTGGCCAGCCTGTTGATTTTTAAAAACAAAACTAGCCATTCCTTGAAGCCTAAGTCATACTTTGCTAGTTTAAAGCTTGGATTATAAGTATACTGAAAAACCCCACAAAACCAAACCATATAGGATTAGGGAAGAAATCGATATAAAATATGTTTCTAGCCCCAGTCAGATTTTAGTTTTTGGAATCTGGAAACAGTAGAAAAACAAGCTCAGAAAACGTCCCTTCCTGAGGGAAATCGCCTCAAGGGACTGAGCTCAGGCCTGGACCGTCTGCCATTTGAGGTCCCTGGGGACCTGGGGTAGCTTGAGTAAGGTGGGCCCTCCCGCCAATTAAACAGGAATAACAAGGACCAGAATAACAAGCTACACATCACTGGTGCTTACAAGGAGCCAGGCTCTGCTGGAAGCGCTGGGTTATCACCCCAACACCCTACAACATAGCCACTAGTATTTCCCCTCTGAGAAACTGAGTCAGGAAGTTAGAAGCAACTTGCCCCATGTCCTGCACTACAAAGTGGAAGCGCGGGCACCTAGCTGGTGGCCATTAAAGGTGTCTGTAATACGCCCAACTTCGCTGAAACGGACCAGAAAAACTCATCTTGCAGCTTGCAAGCAGGCTGATCTGGGAAGCCATGACTTATCAGAGCTGTCAGAGATAATTGCTCTGCGAGGAGGCAGGCGAGTCACAGGAGCCCTCTCCAGTTAGAGCTGCACAGCCAAGCCGCGCGCCGGGAGGTCAGAGCCAGCGCCGGTGCGGCCACGTGTCCCAGGCTCTGGGCCAGGGGCGCCTCGCGGAGGCGGGGCCGGGAGCTGGGCGGGGCGTTCGGGCCCTCGCCTGGAGCACTGCGCATGCGCGGCTAGGCGGCGCGGCAGGAGCGCGAGCCCGGTGCGTTAAAGGCAGCTCCACCCGCTCCCATCTCGAGTGTCGCGGTGCGCAGGCGCGGGCTCTCTCCTTGTCACTCGGCGCCGCGTGCGGGTTGGTGGCTCGGCGGTGACTGTGGTGGCGGTCTTCGGCACCATGAGCGGCTACAGCAGCGAGGAGCGCGCCGCGCCCTTCACCCTCGAGTACCGCGTCTTCCTCAGTGAGTGTCTACGGCCCCCCACGCCTTCCCGCCCGCTGCCCATTCATTCCCGGCGTCGCCGCTCCGCCGGGTGCGGCCCTCGGTCCCCGAGCGGCTCCGGCGCGTCTCTGGGCCCTGCTGGTCGCACTGGCGGGGGTCGCCCTCCCGCTTCCTTCCCCGCGGAAGGAAAACGCTCCCCTTTCCCACGTTCCGCAGAACGCGGACCGGGCTGGTTTTGCGAGTGTCGGGCCAGGAGGGATCTGTTAGGGAAGGAAACCACTGAGTCACCCAAGAAAGGTACCTGGGACGTAAAACAGTCCCGGTAAGAGGATTGCAGTCTGGAGGAACGGGGGCTGGAGGGGGACTGCCTACGACCTTAATTCCGCCGCCTTGGTTCCGATGGTCGGCGCTGAGCGCAGTCAAATCCTCCCTCTCCGTGGGCAGCCAGGGAAATTGAGGCCGGGCCATGCTGCACCCATCCTTGGGTGTAGCGCTGTTGCCTCTCAGAGCTTGTGTTTTCCCGTAAGCTCTGATGCTGGGAATGTTTCTACTGAAACAGAAAGCTGCGCCCGGCCAGTCACCCAGGTGACGTCGATCAGAAAGCAGACTGCCAAGTTTTTAGTCTGGGTCTGGAATCTCTTCCCAAGTCCTGTGCTTAGGAGCAGAAGGCTGGAGACTGACGGTGCCCCAGCTTCCTGGGCACGCTCGCTTTTGCCTTCTAGGGTTTATTTTTCTCGTCTCCATCCTATACCTACTAGGATTAGATGAGAGGCGGTACTAGGAAATGCGTGTCCGAAGACCCATCTGTTTTACCCCTTTCAGTTTTATCCGAAAGAGAACAGGCAGGTTCAGCGAAGTCCAGATTAGTATAGGAAGGGCAGGAAAAGATAGGGAGGAGGGTGTGACTGGGAATACAGTTCTGAAAGAATGAACCAAGCCCCTAGTAAAACTTAGCTTGGGCGTAAGAGGAAAAGGAAAGTGAACCCTAAAGTTTGTGTTAGTTGAAAGTTAAACCACGAGGTAAATTCAGGAAGACTAAGACCCCCCCTATTATTTAATTTCAGAATTAAGTAGTAAGGGCAATACAGGAACTTTTGACTAATGATTCACCATGCTGTTTTTCTTTTTTTGGTACCAGGGATCGAACTCACAACTTTGCACTTGCCAGGCAGATGCTTATACCACTGAGCTAAGATCCCTGGTCCCACCATGCTGTTTTTTCTGAAAATAGTGTTGGCTCCACAATTTCTCTATAGAATGGACCTACTGTAGAGATGCTTTCTCTGTTTTGAAAGGTGAAGAGATTGTCTGGAAATGGCCTTTGAGCTACACACATGCATAACAGACTTGCTTTTTGTACTTTGTTTGGTATTGGCAGTATTTGAGGCCATTAGGAGTCACCCAAGCTCCTCCCTGACTTTGACCCTGCTAATGTAAATTTATCAAATGAAACTTGATTGAGGGGGGGCTGGGGATTTAGCTCAGCTGCATAAGCGCCTGCCTTGCGAGCAGGCAGTCGTGAGTTCGATCCCTGGTACCAATAAAAAGGAAAAAGACAAAAACAAAAAAAAACAAAAAAAAAACTTGAAGGCAGTCGTTGTTCCACTTTGGTAAGGTAGGTGTACTCATGTATTTCTTCTTGAATAGTGAGGAAGGTTTTATTTTGTTGGCAGTCCTAGGGGTGGAACTCCTATCCTCACACATGGTAGACAAGCTCTCTGCCAATAAGCTATATCCCCAGCTCTGAGGAATTTTTAAAATTACTTTTGGATATTGTGGTTGAGTCTCTAGAACATAGAAGTAATCTGTAAAGAATTTGTTACAACTTGATTATCCTTGAGAAAAATTGTAGTCTAAGGTTCTTTCCTGCTAAAACATCATTTAAAGCAATACAGTGTATAATTTAGCAAAAGATGTGTTCCTTCCAATTATTTTGTAAGAGTTGTGAGACTAGTTAGCTGATGCAAGATAAAAAGTAATTTGACCACCATTTGCATACTGTCCGCACTGCAGAGGTCAGGACAAGCAAGGCTAAGGATTAATGCTGTTACAAGTCTACAAGGTACTTAGCGTGAAACCCTGATCTTGGGGGAGGGTCAGGGAAGGGGAAACACACAATGGGAGACTGGAGGTGAACTGAGGCTTAATTGGCCTTCTCGGTGAACACAAAGGAAAAAGGCACAGCCGGTTTTAAGTTGGTTCTCTGAGCATGTACTACGTGGATATTGGAAGATAGATAACCCTTGTGTTACTTTAATTGCTTATATCAGTATTTTCATTCACTCATTTGCCTCCTAAAAGCAAGACCCCTCTGGCTGTCCTCATGTTAAACTGACTCACTGTTCTTCATCCTTGTTTATCCCTGGGGTCAGGGAGATAACAAAGACCTGGACCAGGTCTCCCACAAATAATATTTGTGAGTGGGGAAAGCTGGGAGGAGTGGTTTGGCTCCCCAAGGGTGGCACCTGGGGCAGGACCACCTAGGCTTCTACACACAACCAGGTTTTATGTATTTATTTTTGGTGTAGGAATGAAATTAATTACTTCATGAATTTAGCAATATAATTTACCATAGTACTAACTCACTTTTTTTGGAGGCAGAGTTGCACTATGTGATGTAAGCTGGCCTCAAACTAATTGTGATCCTCCTATCTCAGCCTGCAGTCCTGGGATTGTAAGCATGTGCCCCCGTGCATGGCAGTAATAATTTTTCTAATTTATTTTGCAGAAAATGAAAAAGGACAGTATGTATCTCCATTTCATGATATTCCGATTTATGCAGATAAGGTAAGGTCCCCATCTCAAACCTGATATTGTTCCTCAGATCAACTAGTTCTATATACGGGTTTTCTTACACACTTTACAAGTGGTTAAAATGCCTCATTGTGCTGTAAATTAAAGTTTCATTGACAAATAAGAAGTTAGTCTTTCAACTAGATCATTCGGGGAAGGAGTAGAAGACTAGAAGCAAGTTTTAAGTTGCTTTTTTTTAGAAATAATATTTGTCTTTTCTGTATATGAGTTTGGAAATAAAATTCTAGTACTTCGTTAGTGGTTTGAAAGTAAACCAGGTACCCAGCACAAAATTTTGACTATAAAAGTGGGATATTTATTAAATTATTCAGTCAGTATAAGAGAATTCATAGGCTAGTAGAATGATTTACAAATAGTGCTAATAAAGGTAAGTACACAGCCTCCTAAAAGGAAATGTCTGTTCTTGTATACACCAGTGATCTGAAGAAATGTAATCTTAGTGGAGATTGGTAAGTTTACCGTCAATTAATAAGAATATTTATGATCCTTGGGTGGCGATAATACCTGTAACCTTTTTTTTTTATGATGTTGGGGATGGAACTCAGGGACTTGCATATGCTGGGCAAGGGCTCAACCCGAGCTACACCCCACCCCCTGCCCATACTTTTATACCTTTAAATAGTAATGTTAAAAGAAAAAAAGCCCCCTCCCCAGCTTCCTTCTTAATGGGAGATGTTTATACTGTATTTAAGAACTTGACCAGGGACAGATACCTGATTCATTTTAAACTTGTGGTATTTTTTTCCTTCAATCACATTGAGTACTGAGCTTTTTGAGTTGTAGAAGCTGTCATTGACCTTTCTTAGCCTAGTGCTGACACATAATACAGGTGAACGTCACATTCTAATGTATGCTTAGGATAGCGTTAAAGATTTTAAAATTTTGTCCTTGTGTGTGCTCTGAGTCTTACCATCTTTTGAGCTTGCCTCTCAAATAGGTGAATTTACTATTTCTACCAGGAAGTCTGCTGTAGTTCCATGTTGACACTTGCATGTAGAGATTCCATCTCTTGGTTGCTTCAGAGGAGCCTTTCCAAGCTTGGTGCCTGTTGGAGGCAGTGGAGCAAACCTGAGATCAATTATGTGCCACAGTTACAGCAGGGACCTTTAATTGGCATGTTTTCCTGTGGGATTCTCAAAGTCATACTTAGAAACTGTGATTTGTTACATCTGATTTCCCGAGAGTTGATGTGAGCTACAGAGTCCTCTCTGTCTCTTGGAACAGCCCCATTTGGTTGGCTTGAATTATCTGTTTTGGGTACAGTATATATAAATTATGCCATAAAGTACTTCACCCTAATGTTTTGTTTTTTGTTTTGTCTTTTTCATTTTTATCGGTATCGGGGATCGAACTCATGACCGCCTGCTTGCAAGGCAGGTGCTTATGCCGCTGAGCTAAATCCCCGGCCCCACTTCACCCTAATGTTTCAGCTCCTTCTGAGTGATGAAGAGGTGGGAAGCCCTCCTAGATTTACTGGAATGTATTATTTGTGGTGTTGGGGATTTACACCCAGGGCCTCACACATCGTAGGTAGGTGCTCTAGGACTGAGACACACTCTAAGGCCTTTTACACTTTTTTTTTTTTAACTAGAAAATAAATGCCAACTTTATTAATAGCAACAGAAAGGGCTTCCAGTTTCTCAAAAGAAAACTTACCTGAAATCCGCACTACCTGGTGTTATAGGATTAAATGGTCGTGTCACATTGGCTTTTCTGATAGCTTCTCACCATACCCTGAAGGGCCATCAAGGATAACTGCCATCGAGCTGCTGAGGGGCATGCTGGGCACTGGGGAGGCAGCTTCACAGTCAGTCCCATGTCACATGACCAAGGGGACTCCTGCTAAGAAGCTCCTGGAGTAGAGAGAACATACCAGTGTGGATAACAGAGCCTCGCTTCTCAAGAGTTAAGAAAACCCATGAACTAATCTGTGTTTCCTGGGCAGTCAGCCAGAGTGCTCTGTGAAGGATCCTTCCAGGTCCACCCCAGCCCATGCCGTGGCAAGGTGTGATGGGGGGAAGGGTGGTGAGGTGCCAGCATAGTAGCAGATGGGTACAGGGAGGCACAGGTTTGACTTTGCTGGTGTTTGTGGGTGTCTTTTTTGGCAGTTGCAGCAGCTTGATGGGGGCTGGCAGGGGTCACCTCTGCTTGAAGCCATATTTTTTTGTGTTTATAGAAGAGGTCTGTTGTAGAGCTCCCCAAGTTGACAATCTTGGGACAACCATCTCAGTCCTCCTCCTAAATGGTGTACTCTTTACAATAATAGGCATCAGAGACTCTCTGGCTTCCACAGGTTACCCAGTGCCCCTGGTCAGACCCCTAGTTACACAGCACGTGTTTGCACCAGGGTGCAGGGACATACATGGGAGTCACAGACCACACACTTATCATCACAGTTCCCACAGTCTTCCCATGGCAATGCCAGCTTGCTTGTGGCAAAAGGTCAAAGCCGGATGATATTTAGCCATAGCTCCTACCCAAGAGGGCTAGTGGAATGTCTACTTTTTTTCAAAACAGGATCTCACTAAGTTGCTTGAATTTGCCTTCCTTCTGCTCCAGCCTTCTGAGTAGCTGGGACTAAAAGCATACTCTGTTGTGCCCAGCTATCCCTAGCTTAATTGATGGTACCATCAACTGTAGGTATATGAGCAAAGAAAATGCCTTGCTTTGTAGTGGATTTGTGGTGTTTGTAAGTGATTGGGCAGCATTGTAGCCAAGAGCTAGGATGATAATAGATGTGTGGTGCATGCTCTTACGGTGCTGCAAGGTGCTTTAAAATAGGAAACAGGCCTGTGTAATCAACTTCACAGGTTGCCTGTGACACTGGCGTCTTGCTTGTGTCTATGATGTGGTGACTTAGGTGGAGACTGCCCTTATTTCACCCTGTGGTGGCTCAAAAGCACCAGCCCTTGTGACAACTCTGATTTCATCAGTAGTCCAGGCCCTAAGGGACCTCAGCATGTATGCTGCTTTTCTGAATGGCCGGAAGGAGCTCTTTTGTTTTGTTCTGTTTTGAAGAAAGTTGTTTATAGTACAAATAAGGGTGAGTATGACAGAAGTTATTTTAGATTATAGCCCCCAAAAGTCTAATGAATTCATTTTGTTGTAGAATAGTGTGATTTTCTTTTTGTAAAATGTCTTAGTGTGATTACATTGACATAAACACATTTTTATGTGTGCAGTCTAGACCTCCCTGGTGTGGTCTGTCATTTCAGGGGTGGTAGTGAGAACGTCATTAGAAATAAGGCTGTCTCTTTAACACAACTCAGCTCCATAGTGAAAAATTCCAGCAGCTCACATATTCTGTCCTATGTCAGGACCTTTTGATAAGAACGACATTCATTTTATTATGTCATTAAGTAATCAACCCAGCAAGTCAGGAAATTCTTGAGACTCCAATATCCTGCTTGGATTGTGTCCAAATCAAATATATGGAGAAGGCAAAGACATGGACTCCCTGGATTTTTCTTTTCATTGTAGCAATGCCTTTTACCTTGCATTTATTTTGGAGTTAAATGTACAGGCACCTGTAGCTCAGAACTTCTGAGATGCCAGAAATTTATAAAACTCTAAACATAGTATAAACAGTATGAAACACTGGACAGATACTTAAATCTTAGTGCTTAAATATCATGACTTGATAACATTAATTGTAGGAGCTGCTGTTCTTCTAAACTACGTCTTCCTTTTTTGTTTTTTTTTCTGAGACAGGGCATCACTGCGTAGCCTAGGCTGGCCTTGACTTTGTGGCAGTCATCCTGCCTCAGCCTCCATCTACTGGGATTACAAACATGCGTCACCACACCTGGCTTCTAGTCTGTATTTTAAACTCTGATGTTAAATACTAGTTCTGACTAGTAGTTGACTAGTAGCTTCTGTTTGTTTCCCAAGATCCTGCTGGGATCTGTTCATACATGAATAGGGAACTGTTCATTTTCCTCCCTTTTAGAAAATGAGTGCCAAACTGCAACTCAGAGGCCACTTACTTATTTATCACAAAGTGCCAACACTGCAGTCAAACCCAAATACTGAGGTTTTTGCTGAGAAAGAACAACTCCACATTAACTTTTTTTTTTTTTTTTTTTTTTTTTTTTTTTGGTGCCAGGGTTTGAACTCACGACCTCATGTTTGCCAAGCAGGCACTTATTCCACTGAGCTAAATTCCCAGCCCCTGACACACATTAACATTTTTGTCTTTATTTTTTTTAAATATTTTTGTCTTGAAAACACATTTGCTCTAGGTTTGCTACCTCTGGTCTAGTCAAATAGATTGATGCTTCAGAAATTTGACAATATTTTCTGCAGGTCAGTGTAATTAATCATGTTACTTGGGGAAGGTTCCAGGTCAAATTTCATAGACATTATAAGTCTCAAAAAAATTTGACAACTGGAAATGCAGGTTCTTGATTGATTTTATAGGGGAGAAAATAAACTGAGACAGAGATAGTTAGAATATCTGTTTTCAAAGTTTGTTGTCTAAAACTGGGCATGATGGTGCATGCCTGTAATCCCAGTGGTCAGGAGGCTGAAACAGAAGGATTGTTGCAAGTTCAAGACCAACCTGGGATAAAAGTGAGCTCAAGGCCAGCCTGAACCACGTAGTAAGACCCTGTTTCAAAAAGAAAAAGAAAAAAATAAAATAAAATAAAATTTGTTGTCTAGTATGTTCAGAATGCTACAGTTCCTGGGGGAAAAATATCTAGAATTGTGCTGAATAACAAAACCAGTTGAGTAAAGAAGACAGGAGTTGATGAGACATGGTACTGAACTTTTTCAAAAAAATCTCAACATTATAAAGTACATAAATATTGGGAATATTCAGCTATGTAATGTTTTTAAAATCTTGTTTTTTGAGACAGGATCTCACTAGAGAGTTCAGGCAGGCCTTAAACTCACTGTGTAGCCCATGCCAATCTTGAACTTGAGGTGATCCTCCTGCCTCAGCCTCTCAAGTGGTGGAATTACAGGTGTGCCACTCTTAAAACTTATTTTTCTGCTAGGCTTTAGAGCCTAGAAAAGTGCCTGCCGCTTAGCAGTGGCGCTAAGTGAACTTCTGTGCACAGAGATGAATTCAGCTGGGCATGGTAGTAGAGGCCTGCTATCCCAGCAGTTGGTAGGCTGAGACAGGAGGATTATGAGTTTGAAGGCTGGGCTACACAGCTAATTCAAAGCCAGCCTGCACTGTGGGAAACCCTGCCTCCACAAAATAACAAGGAAATCGTTTTGTGTCTTCTTGCAGGTACTCATAATTACTAAAAAAGCAGTAGATTCTAGACTTGCATAATTTTTCTGTGCTTGTACCAATTTTCTTCATTTTGTCCCTTCCCTTTAGGCTTGTGGATTTGTAACATTAGATAATACTGTCTTGAGGGTCTATACATATTTATGTTTCAGTTCATTACAAGTTTCAATCCATTTCCCAACCTTTGAATTAGTGATTTCAGCTCTATTTGCTGAAACTTATTTTGTTTTTCTAGATGAGGTCTTGGCTGTGTTTAAGGCTACCTTTGCGCTCCCAATCCTCCTGTCTTAGCCTCATAGCTAGTTTTTTAAAGTGATGTATTCATTTGGTGGCATTTTCTCTTGAAAAATGAACCAGTCTCCTTGGTTTTTTTCTTCTGTATGAAGCTTGTGTTATAACAGCTCCACCTTGTGGTTCTGTAGGAAGTTGCTGCTGAAAATTTAAAAACCCTGATTTGTTTATGTTTGCGGATTGGGACAGACAGACGGATGGACAGACAGACAAGGGATCAAGCCTAAGGATTATTCTACCACTGAACTACATCCCCAGCCCTTTTTATTTATTTATTTATTTTGAGATAGAGTCTTGTTAGGTTGCACAAACTGGCCTGATCTTGTGATCCTCCCACCTCAGCCTCTTAAATGCTGAGATTGTGGATATGCATCACTGTGCCTAAATCAGAGATTTCATTTTTATACCTAAGAAGTGATACTTAGGTAACTGTAGTTCTTAAAAAGTTAACAAGAGGGCTGGGGTTTAGTTCAGTGGTATAAGTCCTGTATGGAAAGTGCGAGCTCGTGAGTTTGATCACTGGTACACACACAAAGTTAACAGTGGATAAGATAAAATTTAATCAAAGATTGTTCCTGTTTTCTCCCTCCTGTTTTCTACTCAGGCACAGTTAGTGTTATATTTTCTAAACCATTTAAATGTTACTTTATGATGATAGGGGGATAGAGTGGTGTATTCAGTCTTGCATTTAATCATCTCCATTCTTTTTGGTTTTATGTAGTTGATGAGAATTTAGAGCCGCAGAAGTTTTATCTTTTTTTTTTTTTTTTCATTTTTATTGGTACCGGGGATCGAACTCACGACTGCCCGCTTGCAAGGCAGGCGCTTATGCTGCTGAGCTAAATCCCCAGCCCAGAAGTTTATCTTTTCAGTAAAATCTGAAGAGCTTTTGTGCTTGTTTAAAAGTAACAGCCAGGTCATTTAATGGCTGGGGCCTCATGTTAGTCACTTTCCTCACCAAGGGAGAAAATACCTGACACCTAAGGAATGGGAGTCAGGGTTTACTTTGGCTCATGTTTCAGTCTGTGGCCAGCCAGCTTCAGAGAGGCAGGCGCTGTGGACAGGTCTGGCAGAGGGGAGCTGCTCACCTCATGGTGCTTGGAAGCCTGATGGCATCCAGGGAGATTAACCTGGCCAGCTACTCCCACAGTGACCCCCTCATCCAGCTGGACCCCCACCTCCTAACAGCAAATCGGCCTCCTAATCCTTCACCTTCCAACCCATGAGGCTTGGGGGCCGTTTTAGAGCTAACTCGTGGCAGTCATTTCTGACTTACGGTTTGTCTGTCCCTATTTCTTAGCAAAATAGAAAAGTCGTGTATGTAATTTTCACTCTATTTCTTTTGAGATATGATCTTCCTGCGTTGCCCGTGTTTTCAACTTTGTGGGCTCAGATGATCCCCCTGACTTAGCTTCCTGAGTAGCTGACCCTGCAGGGCATACCCACTCTTTTTCGTTTGAAACCAACTTTTAAAGTTACAGTTTTTATAAAAGACTTAACTGCAGATTTAAGCTTTATCTGTGTCCTTATGGAGCCTAGAAACTGATAACCTACTATTACAGTTTTATTCCTTAGTAAAATTCATTTTGATTATGCAAAGCTCCATTTTAATTAGCCTATGTCAACTCCATATTTAACTTAGTATGCAAAATGAGATGACAGTGTGATTGTGTGTTTTAAAACTGAAAATATATAGGAATTATTTCCCTGAAAAATCATCCTTTTTATAGTGATCAATGTAAGGCTGTAAACTAATGATATAGCACTGCCATTGGTTAAAATAATTTTGAACATAATCTTTTGTATTCAGTGTTCTGGTCCTTTTGTGGGGTACTCGGTTTTCAAGAATAGCAAAATTGGAAGAATAATGTGGGTGATCTAGCTGATGAATATGGTTAACACTAAAACTGAATTATCTGAACCAGGCGATTGGGCTGACTTTAGGTTTGCCTACAAACTGCCTCCGAAATTGAAACTCCAGCTACATCGTGAGCATTGAGGTGGGTGACAGACACCAGCCCTTGGAGATGAGTGTCTGGAAGATGGCCTTTTTCATAGGTAGAATTTCTGTTGTGTTTGTTTGAAAACTGTTTCCTGGGCTGGGGATTTAGCTCAGCGGCATAAGCACCTGCCATGCAAGCAGGCGGTCGTGGGTTCGATCCCCAGTACCGATAAAAAGGAAAAAAAAAACAACTGTCTCCTTCCTTTCTGGAGACACTTTTTCCACACCTAGCATAACATATATCCAAGCATGGTGCAAGCACTTGGGAGGCTGAGACAGGAACATTGTGAGTTTGAGACCAACCCAGGTTACATAGCAAAAGCCTGTCTCAAAATACCGAAACAACTGCAGAAATAATACAAGCATACAGAGAAGTTCAAAGACATAACCAACCATACATCTGCCGTCTTGATTCTACAGTTAAGATTTTCCTTCATCTCTTAGTCTGTCATTCTGTCAGAAGTCTGTGCAAGTCCATTGACTTCAGAGATCCAATATGACAACCGATTTAACTTCAGAAGACATAGGGTGTGCTTCAGAGTAAGAGGACATACTAGTCCTGTGACCATCTGGCTTTCTCTTTGTCTTTCAGGACATATTCCACATGGTAGTTGAAGTTCCACGCTGGTCTAATGCAAAAATGGAGGTAATGTTTTGCCTTAGATGTCTGAGTACTCATGACTTGGCCACGCCAGTTCGCAAGGCTGAAGCAACGAGACTCCAAGGGTGTCCCCTATCCAGTCCCAGTCTGGCCACCCCCCAGTCTGACAGTGTTCTCACTGCGTCTGGCCAGACATGGTCCTTTACCTCTTGTATGCTCCACTGCTTCACTTCTGAGGCTCCTGAGACTCAGATGCCTGAAAATTTTTAAAAATTTTAAAGAGAAGCTGAAGTTGGATAATATTTTGTCCTTTTAAAGTAAAATTCTTGGTTCTCAGAAAAAATGTTAGGATTTATGCCAGCTAATTGTAGTTGTTGCTTTCTGGAATTAGAAAATGTATTCTCCTCTTGATAGTGTTATATACCGCCTGTAAATTTTCCACTTAATGGCTGATTAGAGACAGTTCAAATTACAATAGAAGTTAGAGATGAAGTTGTGCAAGTGTGATTAAGGGTCATACATACATCATGATTCGTTTCCTCAGCTCCTTATGTGAGTAGCATTTCACATCCAGCTCTACAACCATTTGAAATCTTATTTCAGATCGCTACAAAGGATCCTTTAAACCCAATTAAGCAAGACGTAAAAAAGGGGAAACTCCGTTATGTTGCAAATTTATTCCCTTATAAAGGATATATCTGGAACTATGGTGCCATCCCTCAGGTATGTCTCCATTAATTTGTAGAAAATGTACTTTTTTATAACTTACTGTTGGCCAAAATGATTTGATCACCTTAGAAAATGTTCACTGTAGTTTTTAAAAACATATAGGAAAGGACGGGGCTGGGGATTTAGCTCAGTGGCGTAAGCACCCGCCTTGCAAGCACGTGGTCATGAGTTCGATCCCTGGTACCGATTAAAAAGAAAAAGAAAAAAAAAAAAGTATTAAAAAACTCATATAGGATAGGATAATCAAATTGGTTTACTACTTCTTTGAACAACTTCTTTTCAGTATCAGTTGTAAATATTTATAATGTCTGCACTCAGATTTGAAAGTTTGTATTTTCTGAGCTATTTCTCTTTCTCTGTGGACTAGTTGTGAACTCTATACATTATTTTTTACAAACCCTGTGGCGTGTCAGATAGAGGACACTAGTGGTCAGAAGCACGGATTCTGGCACCAGGCAGATGTGTCTCCTGCTGGGCCTCTCTGAGACAGTGCTCAGCTCCTGCGGTTAGTGGAAGGAATGAAGAAAGCACTTCTCTCTGCACCTGCAAGTTTTCTGAGCTGTTGACTTTTTGTTTCAGGTGTTGCTCCTTCTTTATTGGGCCAAACACTTTGTGATAAAGTAATGATGGGGCTGGACATGGTAGTACACGCCTATAACCCTAGCATTTGAGAGGCTGAGGCAGGAGGATTGCTGTGAGTTCGAGGCCAGCCTGGGCTACATAATGACTTCAAGGGTAGCCTGAACTGTACCATGAGACCATCTTAAAAAAAATAGTGATGGAGTTCATATTTTCTTAAATAGTCCTTTGAGGAGGGGAACATCTGCATGGTTTACAGTTTATCCCCAGCACAATACCAGTGTGCAGGTGGTTACTTACGTTTAATGTTTGAATGAGTCTCTAAAACATCTCTATGAGTGTATGACACATGTTTAATTTTAGATTGGCCAGGGTAATACCATGGTACTTACTAAATAAATGTCCAGTTGGTTTTTCCTTTTGATAAATGGTTTGTTGTGTTCGCTGTTAGGTTTGTTAAAAAGTAATGTACCTCTTACTAGAACAGGTTATTAGAACGTAAGTCAAACTCACGTAGTTTGATGAAGAGCCCCAGTCACTTGCTCTCATTAGAGCGCTCTGCCTTGTGCTTCGGCGGGTTCAGTGTGTGGCTTTGAAGCGTTATCCCTTTAGGAAGACTACTGATGTGCTCCTGCAGGTTGGCTTTTGTTTTCTCATTGTTGGCTTTTTGGATGTGGCCTTCCTTTATTCCCCTGTGCTTTTATCTTTTTGCCTTCACTCCAGCTGAATAGGCAAGCAAATCCAAGTTATAAATATGTTCTGGTTAGGGACAAAAGAACCCAAACAACAGCTGCACTTTAAGCCAAACTTCCTGGCAAGCACTGGCTTCAGCTCTTTTTTTTTGAGACGCTCTGCGAAGACTCTGGCCTGCAATTTAGCAAACAGAAAAAAGAAACTAGTAATTTACACTTCAGAAAATCCTGATTGAAGCTTTCAGTCTTGGTTCCAACAATATTATGCTTTTTGAGGGGATTTTGTTTTTGTTTGTTTGGTTGGTTTTTGTTTTTTTGAGACATGTTGCTTTGTAGTGTAGGCGGGGCTTAAACTCACTGTGTAGCCTTGGCTGGCCTCAACCGAACAACAGTTGAGCATTCAGTTACTCTTTAGATTAGCTCTGCACATTGTAGCGCAGGCTGAGCTTGAACTCACTGTAGCTCAGTACTAACAACAATGCTTCTAGCGTTAGAACACATCGTTTCCATTAGAGTATTACTGCCTGCTCACTGCTGTTTCACAAATTTGTTATAAAGAAAATCCAGTGGTAGAAGACAGTAAATACCTAGAGCAGTTCATCAAAGCACTTGTCTTTTAATATATTTATAAAAGTATTTGGGTCCTTACATAGTTGTGTTTGTATGTTGTCTCAGTTACTAAGTTGTTGGTTTTTATTTGTTCTAACCATTATGTCTTAAATTCAGTTTAGTATTGTATGTATAGTACAAACTCCAGAATTTAAATTATTGTGTGTATTAAGATTCTTAAATGTGCATAGCGAATTTAAAGAGTAACTGAATGCTCAAACTCTTACAGAAATACTCAGCATGATCCCTTTGGTTAGCAGGATGTACAGAAATGACAAACTCTAAGCCTTATTTTTTAGACTTGGGAAGACCCAGGACATAGTGACAAACACACTGGCTGTTGTGGTGACAATGACCCAATTGATGTTTGTGAAATTGGAAGCAAGGTAATGAAACTTGATTTTTTTTTTCCCTATAGTAATGAGATGATATCAGTGAAATATACCCAAGTTCTCACTTCAAATATATTGTGAATAAAATATGTAAATATTAGTGAAATAGTAATGTTTCTCTGGATGATAAATCTTCTATTTAATTCTAAATATTTATACATTATCATTTATATATTTAAACCTAGTCCAGAAAAAAATGTGTGTCTATCTCCAGACGACTGGACACACGGAAGAAGCTGATGTGCTCAAGTGGCTTGAATAGACAGGAAGTGAAGGTGATGGGGACATCTCATCACCACAGTGCAGACCTCACCTCTTTGGAGTGACCAATGAATTGATTCAAGCCAAATAACCTAAATGGCATACTTCTGCTAGAGATTCTTCTACCAAGGAGGGCAGCTTTAACATTGTGATTATAAACTGGGTGTGGTGGAACACGCCTGTAATCCCAGCATTTGGGAGGCTAAGGCAGGAGGATACCACAGGTTCAAGGCCAGCCTTGGCTACAAAGTGAGTTCAAGGTTGGCCAGAACTTCATAGTGAGACCCTGACCCAAGCACCTCCCCCAAAAAAGATTTTGATTATAGTTATTTCTTTAAAATCTTTCTCAAGGAAAATGGCAAGCAACTAACAACAAAGTTGCGATTAAGTTTTCAAAACTCCAAGTTGTTTTATTTTGTCATGGTGCTAGGGATTGAACTCAGAGCCTTGTGCATAGTAGGCAAGGAGCTGTAAGCCTTATTTTCCACCTTACTATTGTAAGAGTAGTGGACTGTTCATTTCTTTCAAGGAACAATCTTAGTTAAGTATTCAGAAACTCAGAATTTTTCTTATTTCCTCTTCCTTACCAAGTAAAGCTTTCCTTCCATAGTTTTATTCTTTAGTGTTGTGCTAATTGTGGTTGTTGGCTCTCAGGTATGTGCAAGAGGTGAGATAATCAGGGTGAAAGTTCTGGGCATCTTGGCTATGATTGACGAAGGAGAAACCGACTGGAAAGTCATTGCCATTAATGTGGATGATCCTGATGCAGCCAACTACAACGGTAAGAAAACATAAGAGTCTCAGGTTTTTCACATTTTGTTTTTGCTTTTTAAGACAGATTTCACTATGTAGCCCAGGCTGTCCTTGACCTCATGGCGATCCTCCTGCCTCAGCCTCACGAGTGATACCATACCTGGCTAAACTCTGTGATTCTTAAACACCACCAAACTTGACCTCTAATGATAGAATTATAAACCAGCCCTTTCAGACGATAAAAGAATGGAAGAACAAAGCATTTGACAGGCATTATTTTACGACTGACTTTGGGTTATAGCCCTCAGTTACTGTGTGTATTTTCTAAAAGTAGTTGACATATAATTCACATACCCTAAAATTCACTGAAGTGTACAGGTCAGTGGCATCCAGTACACTTACTAAGTTATACAACTATCACCCTCATCTAATTCTAGGCCATTTTCATCACCCTAAAAAGAGATCCCGAATCCAATGGCAGCACTATCCCCTGTCCTCGGCCCCTAACTGCCGTTAGTCTTTCTGTCTATATAGATTTAGCTGGGTGGCTGTGTCCAGTTTATCTCACGTGGTGTAGTATTTTTGGGGTTTAGCCACACTGTAGGCATGTGTCAGCCTTTCCCGTTTTTAGTGATAAATTCACTTAAAGTTCACCATTCATCTATTTCTTCCCTTCTTTCCTTCCTTCCCTGCCTGCCTTCTATTTGTCCATCTGTCCTTTCTCATTCCTGAGGATGGAACCTAAGGCCTTTGCATGGAGCCACAACTCTAGCCCTTTAAAAAAAAATTTTTATATATATACATAGTATGTGTGTTTACATATGTTTTGTTTGTTTTTGTGCTTTGGTCTTTAATTTTATTTAAGGAGGAAAAAAACAAAAAGGGTACAAGTTATACAGAATTTCAGAAAAAATAAATAGTAGGAAATCACTAGTTAATAGGTTACATATTTGTCATCTTAGAAATAGTTGTTCAAGTTACAAAATTAAAGCATACAAAGTGGACATTCAAACAGTGAGACTACAAACAGTTCTGTTCAATGATCCAACAAAACTCAGTAATATGGTTATTATACACTTAAATATACATGCAGTTATATCCTGTAGAACAATTTCTTTTCCTCTCTTTTGTACAATGACAATTACACATTTTGAGTTTTATTACTCCCACAGTTCTTATTACTTTTTTTGAAGAGAATAAAACCAAGTGTGACATAACAAAACAGAGTCAGTCAAATCAAAAGGATGGACATAACACATAATGTAAAAACAAAATACAAGGTGATCAACAATGGTTATCATAATGCCTCTTGCTATCTTAAAAAGAATTGCCTATATCATCAGTTATAATAAAATTGAACAAAACAGTAAAGAACAAAACCAATAAAACCAAAACATTGGAGACATTACAGGATTTCAAAAGAAGATAATAGTCAAACCAGAATGGGCATCATAATGAATCACTGTTTTCACAGTTGTTGCATATAATCTCGAACTTGGTACTATCAAGCAAAACAGAATAGAGGAAAATCAGTCAAAACAAGGTGGTGAGAGCAATACAGGCTTTCAAATCAAGTTAATAGGAAATCAAAGTGAGTTACTATAATATCTCCTGCTATATTTTATTTATTTTTTCCTTAATTAAAAAGATAAAAATAAAAAAGTAAATAATAAAAAAAGGAGATTGAGATAAAAGGGGGAACAACAAACTGCGCAGGTCAAAATATAACCATTTAAGCAAAATAGTGTTTCACCACAAGATATCCCGACATAAAAGTAGTTACCATAGTGTCTCTTTCCTTGAAATCTTTGAGTATAACTTTGTATACTGTAGTATCAAACATATCAAGACAATGTAAAGCCATTCAAGAGAATGACAGTATTACAGGGTATTTAGAACCAACTAACAGAAAATGAACAATGGTTTCTGTATAATCTCCTTGTCTATAAAAGTTTTTGTTTATGTTATCACATATACTAAAATCCAGTAAGATATAACATGTAAGACCGATGGAGACAGAAGAACAAAAGCTTGATGGGACTTCAAAACAAAATGATATTAAATCAGCACTAGCTATTATGATGTCTTGTTTTCTCCAAAATAGCTGTTCCTACCATTCAATCTTCTCTGCCTCATTTCTGTTGAGCTCTTTTTCTGTCATTTGTTGTCAGTTTGTCTTCTTCATTTCGCTTTCTGTTCCATTCATTGTGGCCTCTCTGCCACTGTTCCTGGAATCTTGGTATTTTTCTTTTTTAGAATATCCTGCAGTATTCTCTGTAGAGTTGAATTGGTGGTTGCAAATTCCCCTAGTTCCTCTTTATCCTGGAAGCACCTTGTTTTTCCATCAATTTCTAGGGATAATTGTGCAGGATATATCAATCTTGGCTGGAGGTTATTATCTTTCAAAGCTTGAATTATTTTCCCCCACACTCTTCGTGATTTGATGGTTTGCGCCGAGAAGTCTGCTGTAATTCTGATGGGTGTTCCCTTGTAAGTGATCTGTTTCTTGTCTCTGACGGCTTTTAATTTTCTGTTCTTATATTTGAGTTCTGGAATTTTGATTATTATATGCCTGGGTGTAGCTCTGTTTGGGTTGTAGGTGGCTGGGGTCCTGTATGCCTCATACATCTGGGTATCTTTAAGCTGGCTATCTCAGAGAGCCTCTGTAGCTGCTGTTATCTATCCGCCATGTTCTCCCGGAAGTCCTGTGCTTTGGTCTTTTTGAGACAGACTCTGACTATGCAATTCAGGCTGGCCTTGAACTCACTTTGTAGCCCAGCCTGGTCTCACAACTCACATCTATCCTCCTGCCTCAGTCTCCTAAGTGCTGGGATTACAAGCCTGCACCACCACGCCTGTCATTTTTTTTTTTTTTTTTTTTTTTCTTTTCTGTTTTCGATACAGGGTCTTCTTAAATTGCCCAGGCTAGGTTCAAACTTGTGGTCCTTCTGCTTTAGCCTCCCAAACTGCTGGTTTTATAGCCATACGCTGCCATATCTGGCTTTAGCTGTTTTGAAGTATACAGTTCAGTGGCATTTAATATTCCCAGTGTTGTACAAGCAGCACCCCAAGTTAAGTTTACACCTTTTCCTCTATCCTGGCAACCTTCAGTCTGATTCTTACCTATAAACTTTCCTCTTCTAGACATTTCTTTTTTTTTTTTGGTCTTTTTCCTTTTTATCAGTACCAGGGATCGAACTCACGACCGCCTACTTGCAAGGCAGGTGCTTATGCCGCTGAGCTAAATCCCCAGCCCCCTAGACATTTCATATACATAGGTTTATGTAATATACGGTCAGTTTTGTCTGACTGCACTGAGTGTGTTTCCTAGGTTTGTGTTGTTGCTGGTGTCGGTTTGTCCTCCTTTTTATGGTGAACCTGGTGTGGACATTTTAGCCTTTAGGAATAGCACTGCCGTGATTGTTGCTGTACATGTCTTTGTGTGGACATGTTTGTAATTCCCCTGATGTCCACCTTGGAGTGGGTTTGCTGTCTGTGGTGACTCTGTTTAACCATTTGAGGACCTGCCAGATTCCTTTCCAAAGCAGCTGTGCTCCTTTACATTCTCCCCAGTGGTGCGTGAGGGTCCCAGCTTTCCCACAGCCTCACTAGCGCTGGTCACTGAGCTTTTGGACTGTAGCTGTGGTATTTGGAGGTGTCTTTATTGTGAGTCATAAATACATATATTTTGGATTCTAGACCTTTATCAGATGTATGATTTGCCTATCTTCTTTAGATTGTCCTTTTTCTTAACAGTATCCTTTGAAGTTCTCAAGCTTTTATTTTTGGTGAATTTATGTTCAATTTGTTTCCCTTTTCTCCTTCCTTCCTTCCTTCCTTCCTTCCTTCCTTCTTTCCTTCCCTCTCTTGCTCTCTTCATTCTTCGCTTCCATTTTTTTGGTACTGGAGGAACCTTGAGCCTTGTGCATGTTACACAAGTATTCTGCCAGAGAGCTACATCCCCAGATTTTTTTTTAAACAGAATCTCACTAAGTTGCTGAGGCTGGCCTTAAATTTATAATCCTCCTGCTTCAGCCTCCCAAGTAGCTGGTATTACAGGCAGCACCACCATACCTGGCTGTTTTTTCTTATCTTGCTTGTGCCTTTAGTCCTTAGAAACCATCGCATAATCTAAGGTCATAAAGATTTAAACTTAGCAGTGGTGCCTAAGTTCACGAACTTAATTCTTTCCGTAATTCTGGTTGCAGAATTTATTCCACAATTTTGGTTGCATTTGAATTGTAAGAATTGGAGAAAAAGTTCATGGACCAAGATACCACTAAGTATCTTCTAAGAGTTTTATAAATTTGACTTTTTTATTGAAGTCGTTGGTCTTATTTTTTTTTTTTTTTTTTTTTTAGTGTAAATTAGGGGTTTATTTTGTTTTGTTTTTTGTAATGTTTATTGGTACACTTCAAGTGTACATAATGATCACTTTCATTATAGGGAATTTGTAACTGTATATGACACAACTTGGTCCATTCTTTGATATTTATTCTTATGCATGTAGATATCCATTGTCCCAGCAACACTTGTAGAAGTCTTTTTCCCCTTTAATTATTTTGGCATTCTTCTTGAAAATCAACTGACAATAAATGTGTGGACAAGTTATAATTTGATTGCCTGAAGTCCTTTAAAGAAGGTCAGTGTTTATACCTTATACACTGTGCCTAACTTATTTTTATTTTAAGTAACTAATTACACTTAGTGCTGCAGATTAAACCATGGGCCACACACGTGCCAAACGAGACCCCTAATCCTATCTCAACTAAAAACCTTGCTTCTGGTTAATATTCTAATCCATTTATGTAATTATCAAATTAGTCTTGTGATTGGAATGAGTCTGGCTGAGCTATAGTCAAAGTATCTGCCGCGTTGTATTCTCTTGGGGACTGGGGGAAATCCCTTTTTTGCTCTTTCCAACTTCTACAGGCTACCCAGGCTCCATGGTTCAGTCCCATGTCAGCAGTGGCAGGCTGGGTCCTTGTGTCACTCTGAGCATGCTGTCACAGCTGCTGTCTACCTTGCTCATATGGCTCCTTCTTCTACACTGTAAGGACCTCTGTGATTACACTGGAGCCACCTGCATAAGCCAGGTTCCCCCTTGTGGTGAAACATGACATGTTCAGAGACCTGGGAACTGGTCTCTGGAAGAGATGTGCACCTTTGAGGGACCAGTATCCTGCCCACCATAAGTAATAAAACTGTTCTGTATGGTAACCCCCTACTGGTGGACATGTGGTAAAGTGCATTTGTCAAAACCTGTAGAGCTGTACAGTGACAGAAGAATGGCCTGTTCAGAGATGCCCACATCTTAACCCCTGGAAACTGGAAGGTAGGCTGTGTCACCTGGCAGAGGTGGGGAGAGAGCATCCTGGAGTTCCCAGGTGGGACTGGTCTGATCATTTGAGTCCTTGGAAGCAGAGACCTTTCTCAGCTACTCAGGAGGCTGGGGCAGGAAGATTGGAAGCCAGAAATGAATGAACAAATCTGTTTCAAGCTACTGAGTTTGGGATCATTTGTTACAGCAGCCAGGTAATTAATATACAGCACAAGGAATGAATCTTAATGCATGCAAATGTCTAAAAATTACTGACAAAGTTAACTCCTGGATGAAATGCAAACTATGATAAGAGAATCTGACTTTACTACGAAAAGTTCTTGTTATATAAATGAAAATGTTTACTGTGGAATAACCTCACTGAGGGGATGGAGAAACAAGGTACTCACCGTAGAAATTATGGAAACAAGTGGAGTCGGTAAGACAGTGTGTACTCACTGGGAAGTTGTTCCTTGGTGAGGAACGGTTACTAACCCTGAGGCTACTGCTCCTGTGTCCGGGTATGAGCCATTAAGTGGATGGGAGCCAGGCTTCTCAGTGCTGAGCAGGAAGTATAGAGGAGCAAAGGAGGTGACTAGAATTAACCATGTGGTGATAGTTTAGCGTTGGAGATACAGAAACAATTTGGTTTATCACAATATTAGTACAATGTGTATGTAGAGAACATATTCTTAGATGTATGGATATACATGGATTCTATACACCCAGCTATTTCTTTTCTCTATGGGCTGCAGGCTTAGAAGACCCTCTCAGTAGTGGTGAGCACCCCTAGTACCCAGATTGTGGTTCCAGTACAGGAACCAGCATGCTGTGACCATAGTTGGTAGAGCCGAGCCATTGACTTCATTGGCACTGATTTGCTAGGAAAATGTTTCCCTGCAGTAAAGGTTCCTAGAATATGCCCTGGGCAGCCGTCTTCTGGTACAAATAGTACATGCAGCTTTGCCTGAATGTTAACCTCGGACAGTGTCTGTCCACAGCACAGGTTGACCCCTGTGCATCTGTTCCATTTGCAGTTCTGAGTTGTGTCCTTTGCAATAAACCCATAAGTGTAGTGTGCTCCTGATGGTGTAGGGGTTTCCTATAAATGACTCATTTAACCTTTCCTGAGTTCCGAGTTGTGGCAAGTTATGGAATCTTAGGAGATGGTTGGCATCCCCCTGACCCCAGTGAGAGCCAGGAGGCTAGAGAAACAGGAAGGAGTACAGGAAGCCCAGGACCAGGGCTGTGGTCTGAAGGTGGTACAGTCTTGTGAGGCTGAGTTCCTTAACTTGTGGAATATTGTCGGGTAAGAGATACATACAGTTCACGTCTTCTGTAAATTCCTTGAGATGTGTCAGCACCAGAGCCAGCCTGGGCAGTGTGGTAGTGCACTCCTATAATCCCAGCCTTCTGAAGGTGAGGAAAGAGGATGCAAGCTTAAGGCCAGCTGCACAATGTAGTTCATCAGTGGGACAGTGAAAGTAAAGACCAGCAAGAGCCGGGGGTGTAGCTCAGTCCCACTACTGAAAAAAGAAATCTGCTGGTGTGTAAGCATTTCCCAGTGTACTCTGACGTTTTCCACACTGTTATGGTATTCGGATAACAGAATACATGCTTTATTTACTTATTTATTTTTGGGACAGGATCTTGCTGTGTAGTCCAGGCTGGCCTTAAACTCAGGCTGATCTTCCTGCCCTCAGCCTCCCCAGAGCTAGGATTACAGGCATGCACCACCATGCCCAGCAATGTGTTCTCTATCTATGTAGATTACATGTTGAACTGAACCTAAGTTTTACACAGACACAAACTACAATGGTATCTCAGTTCATTGACTCAATTCTTTCCATGATTCTGGTAACAAACTGAATTAGACAAGAACTCAAATTCCCCCATAAGGTCAACATGGACCCTAACCACTGAATTTGATTTAATTCTTGTCCAGCTTAGTTTGTGACCAGAATGGTGCAAAGAATAGTTTGTGAACTAAGGTACCATTGTATTGTTGAATATATTTCACTTTCCCATAGTACTTTTCCTGATACTAGGTTTTTTGGTCTTGCTATGTAGTTCAGGCTAGCCTTGAGCTCATTGTAGCCCTCCTGCCTTAGCCTCCTGAATGCCATGTCATGTGCCACCACACTCAGTCTGACTTTTTTTGTTTGTTTTTGTTTTTGTTTTGGTACCGGGAATTGAATTCACCACCTCGTACTTGCCAGGCAGGCACTTATGCCTGCTGAGCTAAATCCTCACCCCCTGGCTGACTTTGTAGCACTTACATCGTCTGCTTGCTGGCATGGAGCAGAAGCTTGGTGGCACTGAGGCTAGCCAGTGTTGATGGCCATACCAAGAGGCTTTAAAGTTTTTTAAGTGCACTTTTCTGTTGGCCAGAACTAAAGTATTGTGATGTGTAATGCCTGGACTGTAGCAAAGTCTCTATAGTCACATTTTAAAACTTGGTGTATGCTTGCAGTACATAGTGGCTACATTCTTTGCGGAGAGTTGGCACTTTGACAAACACATCTCCATTCTTTTCATTCTTCCTCCCCTTCCCTCCCCGCCCTCTCCCTTCTCTCCATCTTTGTCCCCTTCCCATTTGCAAAGATCTGTCTCCCTATTTCCTATGATTTTTTATTATGCTCTTTAAATGATTGACCAGCTTTTTTTTTATTTTAAAGGGAATAAAACAAAACAAAAAATAATGAGAATGAAACTGGCAAAAACAAGACAGTAGGAAATCCACAATAGTTACTATATTGCATATTGTTATCCTCTAAATAGATGCTCATAGACTACCAGATATAGGTCTGCAAAGCCAATCAAACACAACATTGAGTTGTTTCTTTACTTCAGTTGCTAGCATGTCAGTCTGCATTCTTCCCAGTCAGCCGATTGCTTGGGGTGGGGTGAGCAGGTAATAATCTTTTCCCCTTGCCTGGGGACCAGCTGATTGGCAGGGCTGTGCTCCCTAGTTCTGTCCCAGCCAGCCTGAGCACTGCTGGTGCACAGGAGGGTGCTCCTGTCTTTAAATGATTTATACTTTGGATATAAAGAGTCTCAAGGGTCATCTACTTTCTTACAAATGACTCACTTAACATTCTGTAACCTTCTTTTGGCAGTGTAATAAATACACCATCGCTTGTAAATACCACATTCTCTTTATACATTTATCTGTTGTTGGACGTTAGCTTTTCCCAAGGTTGAGCTATTATAAATTGTGCTGTTATCTGGGTGTGATGGTGTGCATTTGTAATTCCAGCACTCAGGAGGCTGAGACAGGAGGAGCACCATAAGTTTGAGACCAGCCCGGGCTACATAGTGAGTGGAAGGCTAGCCTACACATAAAGCAAGACCCTTAAAAAAAACGATTGTGCTGTTATAAACTTGAGAATGCATATGTCACTGTAATGTTTTAAGTTTTTCGGGAAGATACCTAGAAGAATAGCTAGATTTAATGGAATTTCTATTTTCAGTTCCTTGAGAAATCGCCATACCATAATGGAGCAGCATAATGGTTGTGCTGCTTTACCCTCCCCCCAGCAATACAGAAGGGTTCCCTTATTGCTATAGCCTTGCCAGCATTTATTATCTGATTTCTTGAGGATGGCCATTCTTTCTGGGGTAAGAAGTAATCTCAGTGTTGTCTTAATTTGTATTTCACTGATGGCTTTAGCTGTTGAACTTTTTTTGTGTGTATTTATTGGCCATTTATTTGTGTGTCTTCTAATATCTGTTTCAGTTGCCCATCTTCTGATTGGGTGTTTTATTGGGGGTGGGAAGTCTAATTATTTTTTTAAGTTTTTACATATTCTAGATATTAACCTTCTGTTCAAAGAATAGTTGGCAAAATTTCTCCACTCTGTAGAATGTCTCTTCACTGCATTGGTTATTTCTTTTGTTGTGCAAAAGTTGTTGAATTGATATGATCTCATTTGTTGATTGTTTTTTTTTTTAATTTTTTAATTTTTATTTTAAAGGGGTAAAATTAAACACAACAAAACAGAACAAAATAGGACATAAGAAAGCAATGTAAGAGATACAAATTTCAAAGCTAGACGACCTGAGATCTTCACTGTCTATCATATTGTCTCTTGTTTTCTTCCAAATAGTTGTCCATGTCTTTGCATACAGAGAATTCATATGAAACACCATAGTATAAAACTGATCAAACAGGATGAGGAAGATGATTCAGGTCTTCAAAACCAGACAATAGGGAAGTCACTAATGGCTGTCATTGAGTCTCTCCTCTTCAAAATAGCTGTCCATACTTTCATGTATATTGAAGTTCAATAAAACAAAACAGGCAGGTGGTGAGGGCTTGCTTGGTTTCCCAGTGCTCCAGGTCCAGCATGGCGCAGGTCCAAGTAAATACCGGTGGCTCCCATCCTGGGCCACCAGAGCCTGCTATGCTCATAGCCACTCATGGGTGTGGAGGAGGGGGGGTTGCTTCAAGCTGTTTCTTTCTAATGAATTGCCCATTTCACCACCCAAGTTCTGAAATGGCCAACAGACCACAGAAAGATATTTCTGTAGGTTCCTGCTTGAAACCAACAGCATCAGGAAGCTGCCAACCTTGGTTCAGAGCCAGGCATTTGTTGATTCTTGCTGTTATATCTTAAGCAGTTGGGGTTCTGTTCAGAAACTCCTTGCGTGGGACTTAGGGTTTACCTATTTTATATTACAACAGATTGTTTCTGTTTTGACTTTTAGATCTTTGATCCATTATTTTGCATGGTGAGAGATATGGGTCTAGATTCAATCTTCTGAATGTGGATAGCCAATTTTCCCAGCACCATTTAAGAGGCCATCTTTCCTTTAGAATATGTTATCTGACCCCTTTGTCAAAGATCAGATGGCTGAGTGTGCCTGGAGTTGTTTTTGCATCCTCTATAATGTTCTATTGATTCACATGTCTGTTTTTGTGCCAGTACTATACTGTTTTTATCACTGTAGCTTTGCAATATAATTTGAAATCCAGGATTGTGATTATCCCCCTGCTTTGTTCCTATTGCCCAGGATTTCTTCTGATATTCTGAGTCTCTTTTGGTTACATATGAATGTCAGGATTGTTTTTCTTAGTTCTGTGAGGAATACTGTGGCTGTTTTGCTTGGGATTGCATTATATCTATATTATCATTTTGGAAGTGTGGCCATTTTGACAATATTAGTTCTGGCTCTCCAGGAAGAAGGAATGTCTTTTTTTTTTTTTTTTTTTTTGAGGCAGAGTCTTATAACCTAGGCTGACCTTGAACTTACGGTGGTCCTCCTGTCTCAGCCTCTGGGTGCTGGGATTACCGACATGCACCACCATGCTTGGCTTTCTTTCCATTTTCTGATGTCCTCTTCCATCTCCTTATTCAAAGTACTGTAGTTTTTGTTATATAGAAGTCTTTCACTTCCTTTGTTAGGTTTATTCTTGAGTGTTTGATTTTTCTTGAAACTATTATGAGTGATACTGTTTTCCTAATTTCTCCTGTGGCTTCTAGTCATATTTAAAATGGTCACCTGTGAACTGGGAATGTGGCTTAGTGGTAAAGCACTTGCCTATCATGCACCTAGTCCTGAGTTCCATCCCCAGCACTACATTGTCAAAGATAAAAGAAAAAATGTTTTTAAAAAGTAACCTATCAGGAAATATAGGTCTAATCCGTTTTTCTTGTCTTGTTATTGGAACATGACCCTCTAAAATACAGTCTCAACCTGTCTTTTTAGTACCTTGATAATAAACTACAGCTCCGTGGGCCAGGCATAGTGGCATTAACCTATAATCTCAGCACACAGGAGGCTGAGGCAAGAGCATTACCATGACTTTGAGGCCAACTTGGCGGGGCTATACAGTGAGCTCAAGCCAGACTGAACTACATAAACGAGATCCTGTCTCAACAAAACAAAAATAAAGTACAGCTCTCAATACAATACTTGATATTTTGTTGAGTGTACAAATACTTATACATCATGCAATCTGCTTTTTCTCCTAGATATCAATGATGTTGAACGGCTGAAACCTGGCTACTTAGAAGCTACTGTGGACTGGTTTAGAAGGTACAAGGTTCCTGATGGAAAACCAGAAAATCAGTTTGCTTTCAATGCAGAATTCAAAGATAAGGTAATGTGTCATTCAAAACTGTAGCTTAAAAAAAAAAAAAAAATTGTAGCTTGAGGCCTAATCACCTTAATCCCAGCATTAGACCACGAATCAATAACAGATTCAAGACTCAGCTATCTCTGAAAAAAGCTTCATTTAAAACTGCATGAGACTGTAACGCCAACTTAGTGAGGCCCTGTCTCAGAAAGTAAAGAGCTGGATATGCAGCTGAGTATGAAAGCCCTGGGTTCAATCCCTAGTACTGCCAGAAGAGCAGAGAGGGAGCTATCAGGCTTTGGAGAACTGTTGACAATATGAAAAGCACACTGTTTGTCATTGTAATATGTATCTCTTCAAATTATAGAACTTTGCAGTTGATATCATTAAAAGCACTCATGACTATTGGAAAGCATTAGTAACTAAGAAGACAGACGGGAAAGGAATCAGTTGGTAAGTGTTACCTCTTCTCTGCAGTTCTAACACAGAGCAGACCAACTTGCTCCAGTGTTTTTTAATCACCCAACACACTGTACTATTGCATTCCTTAGAAAAGAACTGCTTTCCTGGTACCGTGATTCATGCCTGTAGTCGCAGCTACAAGGAAGGCTGAGGCAGGAGGACTGCTTGAACCCCCAAGTTTAAGACCAGCCTAGGCAACATGGCAAGATCTCTCTCAATTTAAAAAAAAAAGGAACTGTTTTTGTTTGTCAGTCAATGCTGACGGACATGATGTAGATGGGAAGGTAAATACACAGCACCCGAAGGTGCCCAAGAGATTCCTCACTGAACAGGCACAAACTTACACATAAACAGGGAAGCCAGAGCTGCATGAAGTCACATAATGGGGAAGGGCCTGGCAGTCTCTGAGGTGAACACATGAGACATCCCAGCCACCCCAGTGTTAGCTGTGTGTGCAGAATTTAGTGTCTCTAATGATAGTGGCTGGTGGGTACCGAGCAGTTCGTACCTGCCAGCCAGGTAACAGATACAGGGAGACTGAAGTTAACTGAAGTCACCCGGGGTGGGTGGTGAGGCAGGGGCCTGTATCCATGTCCGTTTCCTGTATGTGTTCTTTTTTTTTTTTTTTTTTGTCTTTTTCCTTTTCATCGGTACCAGGGATCGAACTCACGACTGTCTACTTGCAAGGCAGGCGCGTATGCCGCTGAGCTAAATCCCCAGCCCCTCCTGTATGTGTTCTTAACATGTTCAACTTCTAAGCTAGTAGACGTTTCTAACAGGATGCCCCCTGTTACCCTTAGCCATTATTCTGGACACACTAGGCAGGGAGGTAAATTAGAGAGAGAAAGAAAGACAGAAAGATAGATGGATGGATGGATGGAGAGATATTTAAAAAGGGGAAGCAAATTGTTTTAGATCATACTGTGTGCTCAGAAAACTGGAAAAAAATAAGAATTCAAGAGGATAACTAATTACAGAGTGAATATGTGATAGGGTTATCAAAAATGGTAAATGCTTCCAAATTTTATTACATCAAAAGACATTGTTGGGCTGGGGATTTAGCTCAGCAGCATAAGCGCCTGCCTTGCAAGCAGGCAGTCGTGAGTTCGATCCCCGGTACCGATAAAAAGGAAAAAGACAAAAAAAAAAAGACATTGTCATCAACCCTCAAACCCTCCCCTTTGAAGGAGGGGTTGAAGAGAGATTGGGGGGGGGGGGTAACAGGTTATATCATGTACAGGTAGAAATTCTCTATATGATGAAGGTGATGGTTATAGTATACTAAAATGTAACAATAAAATCTTATGTGAAAAAAACCCTGTCACTTTGAACATACTTATCCCATTGTTGTTGACAATGTGTCTTTTACTGTGGTGAGTTTTTTAAAAATTGAAGCTTTCACTGTATTTTCTGGTCACCCCTTCTATGTGTATATTAATAGCTTTCTGTATTAACAGAAACTACAGTGGAGGTAAAGATCGTACATAGAATGTTTTTATTTTTTGTTTTGTGAGACAAGGCCTCTTTAATTCAGACTGGCCTTAAACTCACTCTGTAGCCTAGGCTGGCACTGAACTCATGGTGATCTCCTCCTCAGCCTCCTGAGTACTGGGCTGATAGGTATGCACTGTCATGCCCAGCGTTTCCAGCCTGTTGTATGCACTTACTTTGATTTGGTGCTCTTTGCTGGCCTTTGTGTTTCTAACCACTGTCTTACATCAATAGTTAATTCCAGACAAATTTTAGTGTTAAATATTTTTAGAAAAAGCAGGCAAATGTATTTTTCAGCTAGTACTAAGGAAGGGCTTTCCAAATAATACAAAACTCAAAATCCATAAAAGATTTTACTCAGTGGTATTATTTTGTATGTATTAGAAGACAATTTTTCCAGTTTCTTTTTTTTAAATAAGACATGACAAAGACCTGAGCTCCTTAATTTATAAATACTTCAATCAGCCAGTAGCCAGGGATGTCAAGAACTACAATTGGTAGAAGCAGAAAGAGATGCAGCCTTTGAGGAAGGACAGTTTGCCTTATCCAGCCCCCCAAAATTAAGATGCAATATATCTTTCTCTGTAGCAACCCTGCAAATGTATCCTATAGGTAGATCTCTAAAAGTTCACCAAGATGTGCGGGTAAACATGTTCTTTTTTTCCCCTATTGTGCCAGGGATTGAGTGTGGGGCCTTCACCCTAAGCTACATCCCCAACCCTTCTTATTTTTTATTTTAAGACAGGGTTCCTAATAAGCTGCCCAGGTTGGGCTCAAATTTGTAATCATCCTGCCTCAGGCTTCCAAAGTGCCAGGATTATAGGCTCACATCGTTACTCCTTGCTTTATTTATTTTTTAATATCAGAAGTTAATCTTGGTAGTAAGATTTTTCTCTGAGTGTGAGAACATCCTAATGTATAATTTTCCCAAGAACCTTCTAGTCTTTGTCAGTATAATGCCCTATAATTGAAGACATTATCCTTCCACAAACAGAAAAGAAATAGAGTTACACATTTGTGTGAAATTGTACAATCATAAATAATAAGGCTTGGCATTTAAATTCTATTTTGTGGTATCTTACTGTTTTCATGGAAATGGCCTTCATGTAAAGTAACAGTTAACTACAGGTATTTCACTTCTCAGTATGCACATATTAATTCTATAATACTGTAATAGTTCAGAAAGTTGAAACTATGGATAGGCAAAAAGATGATTTTTTTTTTTTTTTTTTTGGTACCAGGGATTGAACTCACGACCACACACTTGCAAGGCAGGTGCTTAAGCTGCTGAGCTAAATCCCCAGCCCCCAAAAAGATTTTTTTATAGTCATACTTTTCTCAGATACCCCTATTAGTAGTTGGAAGTTTTGTAAGTAAGATTATATTGCATGCACAATTCATTGTATGGCTTTTGTATGGAGTCTGTTGTAAGCATTTCTGCATTATAATATTACATAATATTCCATACGTGTAATATTCCATTTTGTGGATAAACACTTTTAATCATTCTTTGAACATTTTGATTAGTTCCAAATTTTCATTAACAGTGAAATAGTGTGTGGTAAATAACTTTTAGATCATTGTTTCTGTCTCTCACTGGGTTCTGAGAGGTGGAATTTCTCTACAAAGCCTTTGAAGTTTGTAAAGGTTCTGGATAATTTAACTGACTCACTTTTCAGAAATGTTGAGCCAGGTATTACTCCTGTGAGCAGCGTGTCCCTCAGAGGTCTCACCAGCACTGCTAGGAACGGGGATTTTTATCGTCTCAATGTTTTCAATTAGGAAAGATACATTTCTTAGGTATTTCAGTGAGAACTATAGAACATCTAGTCTCAGCGTCTTAAATCTGAATTTAAGTTACTTGAATAAAATTAACCCCAAGAGTGAGGTGTGGTGGCTCACATCTGTAATCCCAGCACTCTGAGAGGCTGAGGCAGGAGGCAATTTGAGCCCAGCCTGAGCAACTTAATAAGACCCTGTCTCAAAATTTAAAAGACCTGGGGGGTTGTAGGGGGACCCTTGGGTGGAATCTCCATACTACGCCCCAGAAATGTAGCCAGTAACTGAGAATGTTTAATGTCGGTGAGAAAGCTTTGAACTAAACCAGACCTGCATGTCGCCTGACCTGCCCATCTTCAGCGTTCTTAATCTCTGAAGAGAGGCTATCCTGTTGTTTTGAATTCTCACTGCTTTGCTTTATTCCCACAGCATGAACACAACGGTGTCTGAGAGCCCTTTCAAGTGTGACCCTGATGCTGCCAAAGCCATCGTGGACGCGGTACACAGACCCCACTTTAACGGGCGGGCGGGTGGACGCTGGGGATGGCTGTGCAGTGCAGGCTGAGAAGCTGCCATGTGCCCGATACCGTGGAGGGCTTAGCATTAGAACCGGGGCACCTGCCTGGAAGGAGTACTTCACTGGGAGGGGAAACTGAGGTGGGGTCCTAGTCTACCAGAAGTTGGACAGACTGAAAAGCATAATTTGTAGAAAGTCAACATGAGTCCAGAAAGTCCTGGGGGACCACGAGGCTGTTACCATAAGGGTTTTTCACAGAAGAAGCAATAGGAATTTTCTTGATTTGGTTTTCTGGCAAGGACCAAGGAAATTACCAAATGGTTGGTACCACTGCAGGAACACTTCATAGTGTCATAAACGACTCTTGTGTGAGATGATAGCTATCCATTGAAGTAATAGTTTTGTTTATACTTTTGTGGGTTTGTTTTTAAAATCAGTACCGGAGATCGAACTCACAACCGCCTGCTTGCAAGGCAGGCGCTTATGCCGCTGAGCTAAATCCCCAGCCCTTGTGGGGTTGTTTTTGTTTTGATTTTTGAGACAGGGTTTGACTGTGTAGCCCAGGCTGGCCTTGAACTCACTGTTCTTCCAACTTGTGTCATGCTCCCAAGTGCTGGGATTGTAGCTGTGCACCACCACACCTGGCTGTACTATTTTTAATAATTGAATTGAACATACCAAGACGTGAGCCAGATGCTTTTAAAGTATCATCATTTATAGTGTTAAAAAAAGGCAAATAAGAGAAAAATGAAGTCTTACCTTTATACTGCCTAGTAAAGACTTTTTTTTTTTTTTAATTTTTTTTTTTGGTCTTTTTCGTTTTTATCGGTACCAGGGATCGAACTCACAACTGCCTGCTTGCAAGGCAGGCGCTTATGCCGCTGAGCTAAATCCCCAGCCCTAGTAAAGACATTATTGATGAACCCAGTATAATTAATTCATCTGTTTACCTATGAATGCTGACAAAATTAAGAAGAATAATAAAAACTGGAAAGGAAAAGCCAGAGGTCAATTATTGTAACTTTTTTTCCCTTTCTCTAAGACAGGTTTTGCGATGCAGTTCAAACTGGCCTTGAACTCATTTTGTAGCCCAGGCTGTCCTTAAACTCACAGTGAACCTCCTGCATCAGCCTCCCTAGTGCTGGGATTATAGGCGTGAGCCACCACGCCCGGCTACTGTAACTTTTCAACACGAGCACTTGTCTACATTTTTTATATGCATGCATGTGTAAAGTCATGATGTATGCATATCAGTTTTTCTTCTTGGTTTCATTATAATTCTCCAGCATGACACTGAAAGTCAAGAGGCTTGACTTTGTAGCAGCTCTCAGCAGTGGACAAACCTCACTTTATTCCTGTATGTTATAAATGATTTTAGAGCCGGAAATTTGGGGTGATCTTTTGTTTCACTTGTTTTGCAATTTTATCTATATGCTTTCAGCCTTTTCCCCCCTCGGATTAGACTAACTAATTTTAATCTTTTATTTTAGTTACCGCCACCATGTGACTCTGCCCACACAGTACCAACAGAGGGTAAGATCTATAGTAGTGTAAAGTTACAGTAAAATTATGTATATGCATGCAAAATTCTGTATGCTTGATAATTATATATTTATGGGTATAATGTGATGTTTTGATAATGTTTATAATGTAGAATGACTAAATCAGGCTAATTAACATACATAATTTTTTTTGTATGTTAAATTACGGTAAAACATTTCAAAATTACTGAAATACACAGTGGGCTGGGGGTGTCGCTGAGTGGTAGAGTTCATACCCGAGGCTCTAGGTTCCCTCCTAGCCCAGGAGCGGGCAAGGCGGAGGGAATATGCAGCACATTATTACTTATGTGGTCACCACCTACGTAGGTCCCTAGAGCTCGGCCCTCCCATGTGACTGCATCTTTGTTCCGTTTTAGACAGCGTATTTCTCTCCTTTTCATGTCTGCCTGCCCTGAGGCTCCAGCCCCTGATAATCACCATTTTTCTCTCTAGAATTTCAGCTTTTTAGATTACACATGTGAGATCATGCAGTTTGTCTTTCTGTCCCTGGTATATTTAATGCGATGCAATGTGCTCCAGGTTCATGCATGTTCGATTTGTATTTTTAATGTACCACGTACATACAGGAAGAGAGGGAGTGGGGAAGAGAAAGAGTGACGAAAGGAAAAGGAACATGTTAGAGTTCCTTAGAAGACTCTGTGTCTTAGGATGACTCACTGGTTAGTTCTGCTCCTTCAAAAACAAATTTGAGGCTGGGTATGGTGGCACACATCTGTGATCGCAGCATTTGGGAAGCAGAATAAGGATTGCAAATTCAAGACCAGCCTGGGCCACACAGTGAGTTAGAGGCTGGCCTGGATTACATAGCAAGACCTGTCTCCAAAAAAAGGTGTCAACAAATCTGAAAATCTCATTAAGCTTTTAGCATAAGAGTAAGGAAGTTCCAGACCGTGTGTGGTGGGACATACCTGTAGCCACGGCTACTCTGGACTGAAACAGGATGTATTCAAGGCCAGCCTGGGCAATGTAGTAAGCCCCTCTCAAAATAAAAATAATAAATCAAAAGGACTAGAAGTGTAGTTCAGTACTCCCCGGGTTCAGTTTCCAGTACTGCCCACCTTTCACCCCCACTACCAAAACAGAAAGGCAGCTCAGACTAAACCTCCATGCTGGTGACAGTGTTTGCTACAGTGTAGCTGTGTGTGTGTGTGTGTGTGTGTGTGTGTGTGTGTGTGTGTGTGTGACAGTGTTTGCTACAGTGTAGCTTTGTGTGTGTGTGTGTGTGTGTGTGTGTGTGTGTGTGTTTGTGTGCGTGCATGTTTGAACCTAATACCACAGCGGGATCCGTGTGCGTGCGTGCATGTCTGAACCTAATACCACAGTGGGATCCATGGAACCAAACACATGGTGGGTGTGATTTTGGTTCCCAACAGGGATTCCAATTTCATTTTCTTTTCTCTGAATACAGTGGATAAGTGGTTCCATCACCAGAAAAACTGATGAAACTCCCCAAGAAAACGTGCTGATTTCACTGCATCCTGCTCATCTGAAAGGAGTAGAGGCAAAAGTAGTAGCTTCCCAAACCTCTAGACTAGGCATCTCATCGGACTAAAGCCAGTTCTGCTGTGACCAGTTCAATATATTCAGAATGTTATCTGTGTAAAACCAGTTTTCCTATCTCGACGAAGATAACTTTCAGCAGCCCATGCTTAAGAATTAAAGCACTTGTGATTTGGAAGTCATTTGTGAATAGATGTGCAAGTGAACACATATCAGATGTATATGTTTACCATGTGTTAGGAAATAAAATTATTTTGCTGAAACTTGAATTTATGGTATTTTATTTTATTATGAAGCCAACATTACCAAGCAGGCATAGGTGGTTTTTGTTGTGTTCTATCAATGACCTTACATTTTAGTTTTATAATTCAAACGTAAAAAGTGACTGACCACTCATTTGGAGAAGTGCAGCAGTGAAATCCCTTAACATCTTTAATGAATTGCTTGGACCCTTAAGTCATTTACATTGTATTCTAAGTTATCAACCAGAGCACCTTTGTATAATTTAGTGGCCTTTGATGCTGGACAGACCTGAGCTTGAATCCCAGCCCTTGTTTTTACTGGCTGTGTAATCATGGGCAGGTTACCAGTCACTTGGCCCCGTTCCCTTACCTTGCAAACAGACTGTCGTGCCATGGCTTAGAGCACACACAGGTGTTTTCACTGAAGGTGTTGTTGAGGTGACTATAGATGCACACACAGTTGTCAGAAATTATACAGAAAAATTCCTCTACATCTTGTCCAGTTTCTCAAAAACTATCATTTTGTAAAACTATGTGTATCGCATCGAAGATGTTGATATGGCTTACAGATTGCAGACTCCCCATTTCACTTGTCCTGATTTTGTGGTCTGTTCTGTACATGTAATTGCTTACGTAGGTTCACGTGTCCTACGGGCAAGGATGGGGCCAGCCTTACACAGATCCCCTTGTAGCCCTTCCCTGCCCTATCAGGTCCCCCTCCCCATACTTCAGTCCTTGACCTCTGAAAATGGCTTCCGTTTTTCTAGAATTTAGTCATTTCAAAAATCTCAGAGACAGCTTGGTGGCTCACACCTGTAATAATCCCAGCACTCGGAAGGCTGAGGCAAAAATCTCCATGGGTTCGAGGCCAGCCTGTGTTACTTAGTGAGTTCAAGGCCTGACTGAACACAGTGAGACCCTGTCTCAAGAAAGATTGTTTCTTCTTGGCCCTGTGCCTTTGCATATACATTGTACAATAAATTTTTATTTGTCTATGCCAGTAACAAAACTATCGGGATTTTAATAGGCATTGTGTTAAACCTATAGATAAATTTTAATCCTGAGCTCAAAACCTTTTTGCTCAGGCTGCCATAACCACGTCACATATTGGGATGGAGCTAGTAACAGTAACAGATGGGAAGTTCTAGTATTTGGATAGATTAAAAATTTTATGTGGACTAAAGCCAAAAAGAAACCCAAACTCCTAGGACCGGCAGTTGTTCTACACGTGACTTTATTGAGGTTTAACATAGTACTGGGCACTGTCATTTAGATAACGGGATGTGACAGACATGGTCACTGGAATAGCCTGGACTGATTCAGCTATGATCTTTGATTCCCTAAATCGAATGCATTTCTGTTAACTTATTTCTGGTTTGATTCCTGTATGGTCAGAAAACACTCTAATTTTAAGTCTTTTTAAATCTGTCAGGACTGGGCTAGGGATATAGCTCAGCAGCACAGGCACCTTCCTGGCAAGCACAGAGTCCTGAGTTCCATTCCTGGTACCAAAAATATAGTCAAGGCTATTTGACACTGTCCTGAGGAGCGGGAGGGATAGCTCACGGGTAGGACACTTGCCAGCCTGCATGAACCTTGGTTTTGAGTCTTAGCACTATCAAAAGTAAAGTGTCTTGCTGTTGATGAGTGTTCTATGTTTTACTTATGTCCTTTAGGTCCTGCCCCGTGGGCAGATGGTGCATTTTGGTATTCTGTGGCATTGTTGATTTTCTAACAGTTCTGTGAGTTTCAAAGAGCAGGTGTGAAGGTCCCTAGTTATAGCTGGGTTGTCCATGTGGCTTTTCAGTTCTGTCAGTGTTTCTTTCATGTATTTTGTGCTCTGTTGCTTGCTAAGCACACTCCAGTGTCCCATCTCCCTGGGGGACTGGCCCTTCGTCTTCACCTGATGGCTCCTCATATCTGCCGTCCTTTACTTGAGGCCGCTTCAGTGGCTAGTGGTGCAGCCACCTCCGCTTTTCTTCACTTCCTGATTGCCTGATATGTTGTTTCTATTCTTTCAACCTACCTACATTGTTGATCTCAAAGTTTTTTTATAAGCAACGTAGAGTTGAATCACATTTTTAAAATGCACCATGCCAGTCTGTCCCTTGATTAGTGTGTGCACATCATTTATATTTCAGGGGAGTTTTTTTTTTCCTTTTTATCGGTACCGGGCATCGAACTCACGACTGCCTGCTTGCAAGGCAGGCGCTTATACTGCTGAGCTAAATCTTCAGGTGAGTTTTGAAAAATTAGCACTTTATCCATTTTGGGGTTCACTCATCTTGGGTCTATAGATTTGTATCTTTCACCACGTTTGGAGATTTTTCAGCCATTTCCTCCAATACTTTCTGACCTCTTTCTCCTCTCTGTCTGGGACACGATACAAATGTTGGATCTTTTGTTGTCACACAGATCTATCTGTAGGTTCTGGTTTTTTCTGTCTGACTGGGTGAGTTTGGTGGTTCTGTCCCGAAGTTTAATGTTTCTATCCTCTGTCACTTCTGTATTCAAGCCTGTCCATCACATTTTTCATTTCCTTATTCAAAAGGAAAGGGGAATTAGGGAGTAGGGAGGGGTGAAGGAACGAAGGGAAAAGAAAAAAGTGAGCAAAGCCTAAAATGGAAACACAGCTCTGTAAATGAGGGTACTGGGACCTTGCACTTGCCAGGCAGGCGCCTATGCCACTGAGCTACATCCCCAGCCCGTTTCCAGTTCTGTGACTTCCATTTAGTTCTTTTAAACAGCTTCTGTTTGTTTGCTGAGAATTTCTAGTTTTGAATTTGCTTCAAGGGAATTTCTAATTGACAGTGCAGTTTTAAAACAGCTGCTTTAAAAGACTGTCAGGATTCATCTCAACCATAGCATCAGTTCACTGTCTTCTTGTTCAAATTAATAGTTTATTGACTCTGTTATGATAGCTCATTGTCAAAGGCATTGTAGGCATTTTGCCTGTCTTGTTGCAGGGCTGAGAATTCACAGCGATCCTGCCTCAGCTTTCCTAGTGCTGGAATTACAGGTGGGCACCAGCATGTCGGCAGCATCTTGCCTGTTACGTACTCTGAGGCGCCTGGCTGTGCTGCTGTTTTGGTCTTGGGACCTCAGACTTGTTCGATGTCTCGCCATTTCTGGGGTTTATAGTGTTCTCAGTGTGTTCTCCACGCTAAGGAAAAAACAAGTTATGCCACATGTCACCAGCATTCAGATTTTAATATTCCTTATTCTTTAGTGAGTGACTTTTTGTCTTGAGATGGGGTCTTGTTATATAGTCCAGGCTGGCTTCAAACTTAATCTTCCTGCCTCAGCCTTTCATGCACTGGGATTATAGGCCCACCATGCCCAGCTGCTCTTCTATTTTTAAACAATGTCGATTCTAATAGTGGATTTTGAACTTACTTCCTTGTTTCTTTGAATTAAAGTCTTCGTAGTTCAGACTGGCCTTGAACTTGTGGTGATCCTCCTACCTCAGCCTTTGAGTTCTGGGACTATAGGTGTGTGCAGCCACACCTGGCTTTCTAAAGTTATTTCTGTTAAACTAAGAAATGAGCTTTCAGGCCAGGTCATAGCTCAGCAAACATACACCTGCCTGGGAAGTGCAAGGTCCTGAGTTCAATTCCTGGTACACACACACCCCCCCAAAGAAGAAAGAAATGAACTTTCGAATGAAGATCCTGCCATGAGGGATGTGTCACATGTGTGCCCACTACACGGGAATCACCCATCTGCATTTACAGGAAGGGAAGGATGAACTCATGCAGGAGGGAACATGGGTGCTAGATTGCCTGTGCCTGGACCTTTGTAGAAAGCTGTCACTCCTCTGTTACAACAAAGAAAAGTATAATCCTGCGTTCATTTGCTCAGGCCGCCATAACTGTGTCATATACCAGGTGAAGCCCGTAACCACTGTCCAGGAGAAGCTCTGGGAATTTGGATGAAGAGTGTTCTGTGAACTAAAGCAAAAAGAAATCCTAGGATCACAAACGTTCTGCCCGGCACTGGGTTCATTTAGATAACGGGAGTGTAGTGACAGACACAGTCACCATAAGAGCCTGGTCAGTTTTGGCTAGGGTCATCGAGAGCGCTCAGTCTTCCTCACCGGGAGTCGGTTCCGCCCCCGGGCAGCATGGTACCTCCCAATGACACTTGATTTCTCATGTTGCTCTCTGTGGGAGGGGGTGGGAGACTGCTGGAGTCTCACATAATTAAATGCTTCTTCCCAGAAGTGACACATGGCAGATGGCCTCAAGGTAGCAGAGAAAAGCAGCTTTACCATGGAACCACAAAGAACATTTAGTGAAAATGCCAGGTACCTTGGCCTCGTGGTGGCACATGCCTGTGATCCTAGCACTCGGGAGGCTGAAGCAGGAGGATCACTCCAAGTTCATGTCCAGTGTGGAATTCAGGGCCAGCCTGGATTACAGAGTGAGACCCTGTCTCAAAAAGGACAGGACGGGAGTCGGGTTATGCCTGCCTGCCTGTCTCTGAGAAAAGATGTGGGGAACCTAAGTAAAAACTTCCCCAAGACCCCTCAAATAGTAAGTGGTGGAGCAGGACTTAGACCCAGGTCTTCCAGTTTTGAGACAGGGCTTTCTTTACTGATATGCATGAATTCTGCCTTTACAATCATTATTAACAATTCTTTTTATTTTAAAGAGGATAAAACCAAGGAAAATAAAAATAAAACCAATAAAAACAAACCAGTGTAAGCAATATAGGACTTAAAAACAATATGAAATCAACAATGGTCACTATAATGCCGGTGTGCAGTGCAGCACACCACTGTATTTTTTTTCCTTTGGCTCAGCAAACAGGCCTGACTGTCACTGCACCTGGTCTGTGTACCTGAGCCTTACTTTTATCTGTGTGGTGTGAAAGCATCACACAGGACTGGAGGGGAGGAGCATGAAAGACCCTGCTCCTGCCAGTGTCCCACGGGTGCTTTCTCAGAGTAAGCTATTCACAGTTGTGATCTCAACCACATTGGCTATGAGCAGTGTATTTTTTTTCCATGTAAGCAATCCTAAAAC